TTTCTTCTTTTTTTGCAGTGATGGGGATTGAACTCAGGGTATTGTGCATGCCAGGCAAGCACTCTACCAATGGAGCTATGTCCCCAGCCCCTCCACCCTTTACCCATTTTTTAGTTATGCTTTTGACTTCCTCTTGAGTTGTTCAAATTTGTTATATATTTTGGAAATTAACCTCTTATCATATTATTGTTTGAAAATATTCCCTCCCATTCTCTAGGTTATTTTCTTCACTCAGTTGATTGTTTCCTTTGATATGCAGAAGCTTTTGGTCTAAAAGTAATCTCATTTGTTTTTTATTTTGTTGACAGTGTTTTTGGAATCATATTCAAAAAACCATTGCCCAGACCAATGTCACTGAGCTTTCCAGCATATTTTCATTTTTTTTTCCTTTTGCATTGGGGATTGAACCCATGGTCACTTAACAGCTGAGCCACATCCCCAGCCCTTTTTCATATTTTATTAGAGACAGACAGCATCTCCCTGAGTTGCTCAGAGCCTTCTTGCTAAAGTGCTGCGGATGGCTTTGAACTCATGATCCTCCTGCCTCAGCCTCGCCAGTCACTGGGATTACAGACGTGCATCATTGAGCCTGGCTCCCCCATTTTTTCTTCTAGTAGTTCTGTGGTTCCACGTTTTGCATTTAAATCATTAATCCATTTTGAGCAGATTTCTTTCTTTCTTTTTCTTTTGTGGGTACTGGGGATTGAACTCAGGGACACTCAACCAATGAGCCACATCCCTGTCCCTATTTTGTATTTTATTTAGAGACAGGGTCTCACTGAATTGCTTAGTGCCTCGATGTTGCTGAGGCTGGCTTTGAACTTGCTATCCTCCTGCCTCAGGTTCCTGAGCCGCTGGGATTACAGGTTGAATAGATTTCTGTATATGGTCTGAGGCATGGGTGATTTCATTCTTCTGCAAGTGGATATGTAATTTCCCCAGCATCATTAATTGAAAAGACTGCCAAAGGAACTTTCCAATAGACTTGTCCAAAGAGATTCCAGAGCTGACAAACTTTTGGAAATATTGATTTATATATGCTACTCTGGCCTGCAAAATATAAACACCTTAGTAGGAATGTTACTGGGGATCAAAGATGGCTGAAAATGTTTTGCTACTCCGCCCCTAGAGTGGTGTTTAATTCTCCTCCTTAGAATTTGGGCTGGCTTTAGTGACTTGCTTGACAACAGAATGRGAAAGAAATGATACTCTAGGACTCTGTGGCTAGATCAAAAGCCTTGCAGATTCTACCTAGTTTCTTAGACTACTCGTTCTGARAGAGGCCAACTACTCAGGTTTGACTGTCTAAGATGACCAGACCACAAGGAAGCCCAAGCTAGCTACACTGACAGAGAAAAATGCCTAGCCAGCTACAGCTAGCCCAGGTGCCATTTGAGTAAATGCAAGAGCCATTTTGAAGATTCCAGCTTCAGTAGATGTGACAATGGGAAAGAACCAAAGATCCTAGTGGATAGCCAGAACTTGGAACCCTCCAGTCTCAGCCTCTCGCATTACTGAGATTACAGAGGTAATCCACTGTGCCCAGAACACATTCTTAATGTGTTCCCAGCTATCTCCAGCCATTAAGCACCCCAGCTGAGGTTTCAGTCATCAGGGAGCAGAGATGAGATCCACTGCCATGCCCTGTTGAATTTCTGGCCCACAAAGTCAGGAGCATAAGAAAAGGATTGTCATTTTATGTCATTCTATTTAGGGATGGTGGTTATTTTATGCTGACACACACAAAATTATGGAGCTGAGCATGGTAGCACATGCCTGTAATCACAGTGGCTAGGAAGGATGAGGCAGGAGGATCACAAGTTCAAAGCCAGCCTCAGCAATTTAGTGAGGCATTAAACAATTCAGTGAGAGCCTGTCTCTAATAATATATATAAAAGGGCTGGGGATGTGACTCAGTGATTAAGCGCCCTTGGGTTCAATCCCCAGTACAAAAAAATATATATATACAGCAAGCAGAGCTGAAGAAAGGGGAAATCAGAAAGTGTATGGGAAGGATATTGTGTTTGAACTGGGACTGGTAAGAAAGCACCCCTCCCCCCAAATGTGGGCACAGCACACAATCCTATTTTTGTTTCACAAGTAGAGGACACAGGTCTAGACAGTAAGCTGAAGCCAGATCATGGCAGACCTTGAATGCTTGAATGACAGGGTGAGGAACACATTCTTCTTCTTCTTCTTCTTTTTTTTTTTTTTTTTTGGTACTAGGGATTGAACCCAGGGGCACTTAACCACAGAGCCACATCCTCAGCCCTTTTTCTTTCTTTCTTTTTTTTTTTTTATTGAGACAAGTTCTCAGTAAGTTGCTGAAGCTGGCTTTTAACTTGGAACCCTCCTGTCTCAGCCTCCCACATTACTGAGATTACAGAGGTAATCCACTGAGCCCAGAACACATTCTTAATTATTTGGGAGCCAATAAAAGCTTTTGAACAAAAAGTGATATGAAGGAGTTGTCCTCCAGTATTGTTCTTTTTTTTTTTTTTTGTAGTTTTAGATGGACAGGATACACTTATTTTATTTATTTTTATGTGGTACTGATGATCGAATCCAGTGCCTCACACATGCTAGGCAAGCGCTCTGCCACCGAGCTACAGCCCCCGCTCTCCAGTAGCATTCTTTTATGCTTCTTCAAAAACATCAACCCATCTTTTAACTGAGTGCATGCCTATGCAAATAAAATGATTACATCTCCTATCTTCTCTTGCAGCTAGGTATGGTCATTTTTACTAAATTTTCATTAAGAAATATGAGAGAAATAATGTGTACAACTTTTAGGAAGTATCATGTCACCATGCCTCCCTGCTACCTTGGTTTTGGGGGAATAGAACACATGGCCTCACACATTCTAGGTTCTAGGCAAGTGTGCTCTGCCACTGGGCTACAGACTCTGCTTTTATTTGTTTATTTTTATTTTGAGACAGTGTCTCGCTAAATTGCCCTGGCTGGCCTAGAACTTGGAATCCTCCTGCCTCAGCCTCCTGAGTAGCTGAGATTACAGGTGTTCTTAAAGGGAGAATGAATGCCCTCATTGGTCCATTTTTTTTTTTTCCCTAGAAGATTACCCTTGGGCAAGGCAAATTACAGAATGGTTGAAACAAGAGAAACATTGGAGGAAGGAAGGCTGATTAGGAGAACTCAATAGCCTAGATAAGAAGTGAGGAAGTAAGAACTAAGCCAGTATGATAGCAAAGGGAATGGATGGGAGGGAGGAATGTGATAAATATTGCGAAAGGAATGTCTGTGGGACTTGGCAACCGATCAGAGGAGAGAAGACACCAGAGGGGGAAAATCAAAGGTCTTTGAAATTTCACACACAGGTTACTGGGTCATCAATGATATTGGTAACAGAAACAGGGAAATCAGATTGGTAAGCAGGCTTGAGGAAGGCAACCATAAATTTGGTTTTGAGTGTGTTCAGTTGAGATACACAGGATATCCAGGTGGAGATGTTAAAGTAGGCAGTTGGAAAGTTATTTCTAGAGCATAATTTGAGAACTTTTGCATAAAGGGGGTAGTCAAAGGAAGAAGATGATGGGCAAAATAGAGCGTGTGTCTGTAGAAATTACTCTTTTTTTAGGGCCCAGAAAAATAAATTGGTTCTGGTAAACCAGATAAAAAATATGTAAGCTCTTTACCAGACACATCCCTTCCCTTCCACCAAAACCCCCTACTAGTTCTAGCCAACAGCTTACCGGCTTCAAGTAATGAACCAGGAACTGTCCCAAAATTTGGACAGCTCCAAAAGTTCCTTATGAAGGCATCTTAATTTGCACAAGTATGTCATGATATGTTTTAAGATGACTCCTTTTCCACAAGAAATCGAGAGTAAGTAGCCTTCCTCCCCAAGTGAGGTACATATTAAAACTTTCACAGACATCATAAAAGAATAACTCTTTTCAAAAGTAGAATGAGAAAATATAAATACAAACGTAGCACAGTAAACAGACTCTGCAGAGATTTCCCTTATATCTGCGGTGGCCTGAGCAAATGTTAAATAAAGGATAAAATAAAAAGGAAATCAATTGGACGTGAGCAATAAGGAACCACATTTCAGGATGGTCAAACTGCTGTCTGCAATGCTTACGCGCCACGGCGGGCTCCGGGATGAAGAGGTTAACGGGGCTTGTGTTTCAGCTGCGGTTACGTGGCAGAAACGCACAAGTGGTGGCGCGCGAGCTCTTTCTTCTAGAAGAATTTTACGCCTTCAGCCCGCATACCGCAGAAAACGGCMGAGCAATTCAGGGGACCTCCGGGCGGTCCCAAGTCACACAGCCAGGCGCCCCGGGAGCTCCATTTGGCGCCACCGCAAGTACCCTTTCATTTATGGGTAAAGCTTTGCTAGAGCCCATAGTGAGCAAGTGGTAAGGCTTCTTTCATCCATCCACGCACCCATCCACCCACCCACCCCTCTTTTGTCTCTGGGCCGGGGACTGTGCTGGGCACCCTAGCGTGCTTTACCGCCCCAAACCCCACAAGACTCAGGGGGAAAAAAAAAAAGATTTTACGCCAGAAGAGGAGGCAGTGGAATGATCGCCCTGGATCCTCTTCTCCGCTCACATCCCCGCTCCGAGGACGCAGACGAGCGCTCTYGACCCTGACAAGAAGCCTTCCCCACCCCCATCCCCTGGTTAAAGAACGCTGCGACGTTCCATGTTCTCCTGGCCCTCTGATCCCGAGGGTCCAGACCCCGGCTGGCCCGGAGCGGCCCGGCGGGTGCCAACGAGCCCGGGCCATCCCCCAGGCCGCGCCTCCCGCGCTTGTCCGGGACCAGCTTCCGTTAGCTGGGCCGGCCATCCCTCAACCCCGCGCGGGACAACCCTAAGGTGACCAAGAGCTGGCGGCGGCGGTGACTCCCGGGTTCCGATTGGCCGTATCCTCGGGGGGCGGGGCAGAGGGCGGGGCGGGGCGGGCTCTGGCCACTCCCCGCTCACTCCCTCCTCCGTCTGCGTCCTCCCGCTCAGCTCCAGCGTTGCATCATCTCCAGCTCGTGGCTGCTGTGTAAAAGGCTGGGCGCGGCGCGGTCCGCTCTGTTCGGGACTGCAACCCGCAACCCACGCCTCTGTTCGCCCTTCCAGCACCTGCTACTCCGCAGAGACCGAAGACCCTAGGGCCGCCTCCCAGACTCTGCCCGGTGTAGCTGGCAGACGCCGCTTGCTCCGCCCGATCCATTCATTGGGAGCCCGTCTTTACAGAGCTCAAGTTCCCTGTCTCCTCCAGCTTGGGGCACACGGCCGCGCCATGGAGAAAAGCAGCGAGACCAACGGCTACCTCGACGGCGCCCAGACAGGGCCTGCAGCGGGGCCTGGCGCACCCGTTACCGCGGTGGGACGCTCGCGGCGTTGCTCTGGCTTCCTGCGGCGCCACGCGCAAGTGTTGCTGACAGTGTCGGGGGTGGTGGCGGGCGCCGGCCTGGGTGCCGCGCTACGCGAGTTAAACCTCACCCGCACACAGATCACCTACCTGGCCTTCCCCGGAGAGATGCTGCTCCGCATGCTGCGCATGATCATCCTGCCGCTGGTGGTCTGCAGCCTGGTGTCCGGCGCTGCTTCTCTGGATGCCAGCTCCCTGGGGCGTCTGGGCGGCATAGCTGTTGCCTACTTTGGCCTCACAACGCTTAGTGCCTCAGCGCTTGCTGTCGCTTTGGCGTTCATCATCAAGCCGGGATCCGGCGCGCAGACCCTTCAGTCCAGTGACCTGGGATTGGAAGACGCTGGGCCTTCTCCGGTCCCCAAAGAGACGGTGGACTCTTTCCTTGACCTGGTCAGGTAATACTGCTCATTTAGCCAGAGGCGAAGTGGGTGTCTCCATCCAGATGGTACACGTATACATATATTCTAAGTTAATTGGCTGTTGGTGGCCTATAACTTTTTTATATATATCAAAATAGTGTGAGGAGCCTTTGCATGCTCACCACACCTGTGCAAAACAGCTGGAGTACACTGGCCAATATCAAGGAGCAGGGACACATCTTTTATCAAGAGCCAGTATCACCGTTAGATGAGTGTATGTGTTAGGGAAGAGTATGCCATTCCATCTGTACTTCACTCCTTACACTCAGACTGCCCTCACTGGTTAAAAAGTGTTTGCACCACGACGAATATCTTCACCCCATATTGTCCCCAAAGTGCCCAAAAGCTTCTGGGAGCTATGGGTAAAGTGCCTGTTGGGCCATCCTACCTGCACTTTAGGGCCTTCTCTGATTAAGCCCTTGGGCTGTGAAGGAAGCCGGCAGTTTTCTGAAGAGTTGTCAGTGGACCCTAGGATAACAGGACTGGAGCTGTGTGGGGCCCTTGCCCAGAAACATGCCTTCCTGGGATGTTGCTGCCCACCCAGTCAAGACAACTGAAGAGTATAGTGAGTTTCAAATGACTTTCTTTGTGAGAAGGTGTGTGTTCTAGGGATTGGAACAAAGATGCATCTTCACTTAATTTTGCATCCTTTTGGTGACTCATAGTAGTTATATTTCATCCCTTGAGATGATGTAGTTTCCAAAACCTCACCTCTTTTGGTTTTTCCAATAACCCAAAGTTCACAGATGGGGAAGCAGCAGCAGGCAAGCATTTACTAATTTAACCAGGTTTGGTTGAGTGAGGTATCCAGCTGGGGACCTCCCAGTTTCTGCTAATTCTAGATTCTGAGGGTTGGAAGTATGTTTAGTCTTGAGTCATTGAGACAAACCTCATTGCTGAAACAAAAAGCAGCAAACTCTGGGCAAAGTGACTTGCTTTTTTATTTTTCAGTCTGGAAAATGTGATGACTGTCTGCTACTTAAGAAAGAAAATGTTCATCTAAAACATCAAAAACAACCCAAAATCCAGGACATTTCTACTGGGGAAAGAAAAAAAAAATGAGGAGGAGGACCATCAGTCAGCTTTTGCAGGGAAGAGTTCAGGGATTCTTGGTTCTGTGACCCAGGGAGAAAGTATGGTGTTCAGCTCTGCTGGGCTGGTGGTAATTCAGAGGGTGCCTCAATAGTGTTCTRTCTCCAAAATATAAATGGTGGTCATAAAATGGGGGCAAGAGCCAAGATAAAGGAGGATACCTTATTCCTACTAGCCCCAGAAAGGACTTATTATTTCCTGTCATGGTTTTCCATCTAAGCCCTTTAGCTCCTGCTTCTGAAGTGAATATTAACCCAGTGTCATAGCTTAGCAGTCAGTATAGGTTCAACTTCTCAACAACTTGGGCCACACCTGCCTGGGAGGGCTAAGGGAGGCTTTGTCCTGGCTTGTTAGAATAGGTAGTGTYTTATAGTACTTCCAAAGGCCAATTTCATTTAATCTAGCAGCTCATGGATGAAGAAAGGGCAGGTGGTATGTATGGTCCTGTTTTACAGGTGAGGAACCTGAGACAGAGAGAGATGAAGCAATTTGTTCAAGGTCATGTAGTGGTTTATCAAAAGATGAATTAGGAAACCTATGGGTCTCCGGTCCTACAGTGCAGGGCTCTGTATTTATCATACTCTCTCTTCCCCCAAGTCAACATGTTATAGTAATGTTTCACATTTGTAGCTTAATGTCACCATCCCAGAAAGATCTGCTTTGGACCAAAAGAGGAACCAGGTCAGTTCTGACTGGGCCAGGTCAGATACCCACTTCCTCCAACCAGGAGTTAAGGATKAATCCCTTAAATGGAGGAAGGTATGCAAAAACTGAAGGAAGGTATGCTCAGTTTTGATTTCATGCTGAGTGCCTCCGGGGAGGAAACTAGGCCTGAGACACCTAGAAATGCTTCCTGGGCCTAGAGATTCCTTGGGTCAATTTTTTAAATTTGCTTCCTTCCACAAACCATATGGATGCCGATTTGATATGACTCTGGGTTTATTCTTTGGCAGAGAGAGGCAGGACCCAGTCCTTTCTGCCTGTGGCCAGGTAAATAAAACAAGACTGCCAGGTAATACCTCAKTTATCCTGCATACCCTTGCCTGGCAACTGTCCAGAACTCAAACACCTGGAAGACTAGGAAAATTCCCTGGTGAGTTGGTACAGTTGCCACCAAGGTCTTGTGCTCYAGTTCATGGCCTGTCCTGATAGTGGACTGCCCAGAACTCCCAAGGGGTCTGTCGTGATTTCTTAACTTATATTTTAAAGATGGATCTACAAGTCAGGGATGAAGCAAATAGATATTCATATGTGTGAGTGTGCGTGCATGTGCGTGTACGTGTGTTTCACCATATTTTCATTTAATTTTATTACGATTCTTATCTATAGATATCATATATACTAAGAAAATATATAATTTTGAGAGGTTTGGAGTTTTTTTTGAGTGATATCAATTTATTTAAGCAAACAATAACATCATACAGACACACACACACACACACACACACAAACTGTAGTCAGACCACCAAGTCTGAAGCATCAGGTGTGGGATCAGGAACTGTACTGTGCAAAGAACAGTTTTCATTGTCTAGTGACCAGGAGAATGACTACACAGTTTTTAACAAAGGGAAATCGTGAGAGTACCTACCTCACAAGATTGTTTTGAGAGTTAAATGAGTTGTCTGTAAAGCTCTTAGAACAGGGCTGGCCCAATATCTGTTTGCTCTGGCTGTACATGGATCAATAGATGAATGGAAGCTTTCCATCTTCAGAAATAAGGTTTTATGGAAAACTGCAAACTCCTGTTTGGGAGTTTACATAATGTAGACCCAGGAGCTGGATATATAATATGAATTGAATGTGCAAATCTCTTATGTTTTTCATTAATGAATGAATTGATATAAGAATGGACTTTTCTGGTCATTTGGAGGTGGTGCAGGGAACAAAAGATTTGAAGTCAGACAGGCCTAGTTGAGAATCTTGCTTCAATCTTGTGCAGTGAGCACATCGCCAAATGCTTGAGCCCTTTGGAGGGATGATCATTATACTTACTACATATTTTTTGTGGGTACATCCTATTTTGCTTACTGTTGGGATTCATTATTCCATAGTCATACATGCACATAGTATAATCTGATCAACCTCACTCCTATTACMCTCCTTTCCCTGCCCTTTCTCACTCATCAGCTTGCTCTACTCTACTGATCTCCCTTCTATTTATTTATTTAATCAGTACATTATAATCATATTAAAAGGCAGGATTTAACATTTTAATTCAGAATGTGATTCTTGAGTAACTGGTTTGGTTTTCCCAATGCAATGGATTTGAGATAACAAAGTAAAATGAAAAGTTGGAGTGAGGAGTCTGGTGCTAGAAGCRCAGAGAAGTGATGGCAGTTAACTACTGGCAGGTGGGAGAATGACAGTTTCCTTCTGAGCAGCCCAGGTAGAGTGGTAGAGCATGCCAGGGAGGTGCTCTACCACTGAGCCACATCCCCAGCCTGGCCTTAGTTTTCTTGAGCTATAAATTGAAGMGATTGAGGCAACTGGCTTCAAACATTCCTTTGGGCTCTAAAGTTKGTAATTTTCAAAAGGAGTTCCAGAGGTTAAACTGCAGAGGAGGCAGGTAGTGACAGGGACTGAGCCAGGGCTACTGCCTGGGAACCTGGAATAGTACAGGACTTTCAAAATTGTGTGTGACCCGAGTGATTGACTTGTGACTTCTCATCCAAAACAACGTGGTTTAGGCACCAAAGACAAACAGATCGCCAAGAAACTAGTCATTGTAGAACTTCTTGATCCCCAGYAATGGTTACTGGTTGTGGGTCATGTCCGTAACTCCTCCATTCCTTGGTTTCCTCATCTTTATAAGAGGAATCATGATACTACCTACCTCATAGGATTGTTTTGAGAGTTAAATGAGTTATGTTTGTACTGCTCTTACAACAAGGCTGCTTGCACTTGCTACAACTGGATCAATACAATAGAGAGTTGGGTTTTTCCAGCTCACATGGGCTAAATGGTTGGCCTTCTTTCCATAGCCTGAGATAAATGGGAAGAAAAGAACTTTTTAGGGGAGTTCCAGATGACTTGAAGCTAAGGAGTCCTTAGGCATTTTGGAAACCATGTGGCATCTAGAGGAGAACTATGGGAAATTTGGAAAATGGAGAAAAGTAAAACTAAGGGTTGGGGATGTGGCTCAAGCGGTAGCGCACTCGCCTGGCATGCGTGCAGCCCGGGTTCAATCCTCAGCACCACATACAAAAAAAAAAAGATGTTGTGTCCGCCGATAACTAAAAAATAAATATTAAAATTCTCTCTCTCTCTCTCTCTCTCTCTCTAAAAAAAAAGAAATAAAAAAAAAATAAAGAAAAGTAAAACTAAACACAGAAGAGCCTTCAATTCTGAAATGGGGCACATCCTCACAGATCCTCTCTGACTCTTTTCTCTGCCTTACATGTGTATGCTCTCCAAAATCAACCTGGGTTTTCAGTGTTTTGTTTTTGTTTTTTTCCAGCATGTTTTGCACATGCCAGGGAGGTACTCTACCACTGAGCCACATCTCCAGCCTGGCCTTAGTTTTCTTGAGCTATAAATTGAAGCAATTGAGGTAACTGGCTTCAAACATTCCTTTGGGCTCTAAAATTTGTAATTTTCAAAAGKAGTTCCAGAGGTTTAACTGCAAAGGAGGCAGGTAGTGACAGGGACTGAGCCAGGGCTTCTGTCTGAACTGGTAGCCAAAAGAAAGGCCCTGGGCAGCAAGGATACTGCCATGTACCTGGTAGACAGTAAGAATTTTTTCTGTTACCTGGTTTTCTAAGTTTTTTTTTCCCCTAGTCTCATTTTCCCAATAGTGGACAGTGCTTAGGCCTTTCCCTTCACAGATAGGTAGGATGGACTTTCTTGCCTTCCCAAGGATTGGCACAAATATTTATGATACCTCT